AAGAAATGTCATGACCAAATCTCTTCGGTAAAAATTACCGTGCTTTTTGATATTCCCATGTTCCCAAATTATACAATATTCTGGTAGTTTAGACCATACTTTTTTTTTCAGTGTTCTATCATATTTTTCTTAAAATGATTGCTGTGGGGCTAATATTACGAAATTTTACTACGAATTTCTCTATTCTACTGTTTAGTGGTATTTTTTTAATGTAAAACTATTTCCAATGTGAAACTAACTAATGTTTACCATAATTTCAATTTGTTTATTACTTTAATATTGTTTTTCCAAAGATATACTCTATTTGAATAATTATAAAATCATTCGACAAATAAATTATGAGCCATTATGTTCGAATAATTTTTAAAATAATAGGTTCGTGTTACGCACCCTAGGAAAAATAAGGGTTCCTCAATAAGAGCACCTTTTTGTAATATTAATATTTATTTAGGTCGAAAGTCGAATGTGTATATTTTTTAATGCAAGTACTAAATAATTTCTTTATAATAATAAATTCATAATTATATTAAGAGGTAACATTTGTAATTGCTTTTTACTTTCTCAATTTTTCATATTTAAGTATGAATACATATGTATGAATAAAATTTCAAATCTATCAGAGTATTAAATTTTTGAATACGGCTACTGATTTAAATACTATCCTTGTATTGAATTTGTAACTGTCGTTGATCTATTTCGCAATTGAATTTTTTTTAAATGTTTTATAGCTAAAACAGAATGGAAAAATTAAACTGTCATAAGGATCGTCAAATCATCATTTTATGATAGTTGAAATTTTTCAAAAATATTATGACTTTGTTGATTAATAATTCATAAATGATGAAACTATCATTAGAATTGTCAAACAACGATTTTGTAATAATTGAAATTTTTCCCCAAATATTATGACCCTGTAGAATAAGTATTTATATGAAATTTAAGTTTCAAACAATTTCAACTAATGTTTTAGTTATAAAATATAAAATAATGAGAAGGAGCAAACGAGGAAGTTTAGAGTTCATTCTGCCGTTTTGGTTTCATAAACAAATACGATCAGCCATGTCATTTCATTAGTGGTAAAATATCCTAAATAATCAGCCTTTTTAAAAAACATTTTTAGCAATAGCTTTTCAGATTGTTTTCTTTTTAATTATTTGTTAAATATAATTAAAAAGAAAAATATCTTTTTTTCTTGTTTTTTTTTTCCTGTATGCTTAAAACGCTATTTTTCTGTTGTGCAATAGCAATAAAATAACCTAAATAATCAGTTTTTTTTTAACAATTGTTTTAGCAATAGCTTTGCAGATATTTTTCTTTTTAATTGTTTGTTAAATATAATTAAAGAGAAAAATATCTTGTTTTTCTTGTTTTTCTCTGTATGCTTAAAACGTTTTTTTCTGTTATCCAATAGCAATAAAATAACCTAAGTAATCAGTTTTTTTTTTAACAATTGTTTTAGCAATAGCTTTGCAGATATTTTTCTTTTTAATTGTTTGTTGAATATAATTAAAGATAAAAATATCTTGTTTTTCTTGTTTTTCTCTGTATGCTTAAAACGTTTTTTTCTGTTATCCAATAGCAATAAAATAACCTAAGTAATCAGTTTTTTTTTTGAACAATTGTTTTAGCAATAGCTTTGCAGATATTTTTCTTTTTAATTATTTGTTAAATATAATTAAAGAGAAAAATATCTTGTTTTTCTCTGTATGCTTAAAACGTTTTTTCCTGTTATCCAATAGCAATAAAATAACCTAAGTAATCAGTTTTTTTGGAACAATTGTTTTAGCAATAGCTTTGCAGATATTTTTCTTTTTAATTATTTGTTAAATAAAATTAAAAAGAAAAACATCTTGTTTTTCTTGTTTTTTTTCTGTATGCTTAAAACGTTCCAATAGCAATAAAATAACCTAAATAATCAGTTTTTTTTTTAACAATTTTTTTAGCAATGTCTTTGCAGATATTTTTCTTTTTAATTATTTGTTAAATATAACGTTTATTTGAAAAATCATTTTTGTTTCATTCTGTTTTTTTTCTCACTGCTCTAGTTTTATAAGGGATCAGGTGTAAAACTACATAAAAAAATTCACTGCGTTAAGTTTTGGGTATTATTGAAATGTAGGCCTAGCATATAGTTGTGGTTTGGGGGGAAAGGGGGGTAATAAAATATTTCGTTACAAGTTATAAGGGTTCTATATCACAAATATTTCCCAGCAAAGTGGATGCCCTATTTAATCAAGGCCGAGTATCGTTCAAAAAATATTTCTCACACTATTCAATCGTCACGATATTCTTCTAAGATTCTTTCAACCCCCCATTCCCCCGAAGAAAGTTCAACCCTTTTATTTTACCCCTTTTTCTACCTGATTCTTAAGAAGCGAGAGAAACTCTTGTCCTACTTTAAAATCATCCCCTTATTCCCAGAGATTTTACCCGGTGACCTATTTAATTTTTTTTTAAAAAAAGAAAATATTAAATTCGAGAATACTCGTGAAGTTTTAATAGCGATATGTTTATTTCGTAAGACGTTGAATTGTTCAGTTTACTAACTCAAGTATTTCAAAATGTTTTTCATGCATTATTTTAAACATATATGCGTTCAAGAATATCATTTATCTTATAAATTACATTATGATTAAACTAAACGAAACATTTTTACAGAGAGGCAAAAATATTTTAATAAGCGTTCTTTGAAGTTTTTGCGGTTTAATTATATGGCTCGCTAAATAAAATATTATAAATGCAATTTTTTTTAAAAATAAATGCATACTAAAATTGTATAAATTATAGGAATTTCGATGAGTTATAATTCATTTAAAATTACGATATTATTTTACTATTTATTTTAAGGATGTTAAATATCGGAAAATTTCTCGAACCTCCGCAAATTTTTTTTACAATTTAGGCTAATTAAATGAAATTTAAAAAAAATTGCACTGATTTCTTTTTATTCTAGAATATATATAATATGAAAGATTTTTCAGTACATTCTGTGAAAATTCATGTTTCAAAAAAAAGAAAACACTGAACGTTTAAATAAAAATATTTTTATTTAATTTACATTAGTGCTTGTTTTAAAATAATACATTTGTTAAATTATTTTTTAAAATAAATTTTAGGTTAAAAAATATAAGCCTTAATTTTTATATATCGTAATATAAACTATTTAGTACATTATGATGGCGGAAATCAAAATCCTTTTTCTTAATTCGTCTTTATTTAAAAAATGTTTCGTTTGCAAATTTATTTTACAATTTTATTTAAAGTTTAATATTACTTTAATGATTTTTTTTCCGGACCAACAAGAAACTAAGTCTATTTAACAAAATTTGTTTATAACTTTCCAATAAATACCTGAAGTAATTGTTTTAATAATCTTATTCGGTAATAAATACAAATCTGTAAAATGACAAAAAAGTGCCATATCATGCATATCAAATAATTTCTGGCAGCATAAAAACCAAAAACAACAACACTAATCATAAAAACATAAAAGCTAAGAAAAGAAACGAACTTAACGTTATGTCCTTTTTAAGATTTTTTAACCCTAAGCAATGGAGTAAAATAAATTAAAATAATGTTTAATTAAAACAAATAGCGATTTTATTTGCATTTTTAAAAATTCCATACGCGTAATAAACATGCCACAAAATCTATCTCAATGAAGCAAACGCTATATTTTAGAACATCTTTCACCACCTATTTTTTGTGATCTCGTTTACATAGATAATATTTTTTAACCCTAAGCAATGATATAAAATAAATTAAAATAATGATTAATTAAAACAAATCGTGATTTAATTTGCAATTTAAAAAATTCCATACACGTTATAAACATGCCACAAAATCTATCTCAATGAATGTCTACCTATGCAAATGCTATATTTCATAACATTCAGAACATCTTCCAACCCTTGTTTTTTGTGATCTCGTTTATATAGATAATATTTTTTAACCCTTAACAATGATATAAAATAAATTAAAATAATGATTAATTAAAACAAATAGTGATTTTATTTGCATTTAAAAAAATTCCTTATGAATGATAAACATGCCACAAAATATATTTAAATCAATGTCTTCCTATGCAAACACTATATTTCATAACATTCAGAACATCTTCCGACATCTATTTTTTATGATCTCGTTCATATAGGTAATATTTTTTTCCCCACTAACCAATAAAATAGAATAGAAAGATTACTGTGGAAGTTGAGGGTGTGAAACATAATTTTTTCTGTAATAGCCTGGCTGCTTTGGTAAACCCGCGGGGCACAAGAAGGCATTTTTTATGCTCTTCCCTTTACATATTACGGGGACAAACGCGACGATCGCAGCGCCAAAGCGCGTCGTTGCTATTTTACATCCCCGCTCAAGCGCTCAGTTCATCGTCTACTACAGCAACAAACAAATTAGGCTTAAAACCTCTACGCCAAAGCGAAGTGCGGTAACTCCACAGGTTGTGTTGTGTGTGTTCCTTAATATGGGCTTTCTGTGCGTGCATCTCATATTCGACTTTTCATCGAAAAGAACCGGCATGGATAATTTTACTTGTGGATTTTACTATTCAAGATTAAGTGTATTACGGATACTTAATTTCTTCCCTGATTTGCCTGCCCGGCTACCGGCTTTCAGTGGTTGGTATCGCCGCTTTGGCGCCGTCGCCAATCGTGATCGAAGTGCCGAAGCTAGGCTTAGCAATGAGCCGTTACGGTGAGTTATGAAAAATCACGAAGTTAACTAAATATTTTTTAACTTTCACTTAATTCATTTCAAAGAGTTATTGACAACTGGAAGGTGTTCTAATTTTTTTTCTGGATTCATTTTCAATTTTTGTGTTCGTTTATCGTTAATTAATAATAAGTTGAATTTTAATAAGAAATGTTTTTGAGTTTTAGGGGATTAATCAACCAAATTAATTAATATAAAAAATAAGTAATATCTAAAGTGACCTGGATATATACTTATTTAAATAGTTTAGTGATTTTTCAAACTTAAAGAAAAATATTCTTTGAAATGACTTTTAAAAAAAATCGTTTTCCTTTATCAATTTAAAATTAAAGAAATAAACGACGTCACGTTTTTCAGTGTATGGGTATTAATTTATGTGTGAGCTATACGCAAAACATGTGACGCATGAAGTCGCACTAATTCACCAAATACTCAGATTAGTATTCAATTTAAATAAATATGTAAATATGCTGTGAAAATCTGAAAATACATCGATTAAGAAATACACTTGCTCGTGTAGAATTAAACAGTGCACGGTTACCTCTTTTTGTGACGGCTGAAACACCGGTATTCAACCTCGTGTTTTCCCCGTGTGCGCGCGATCTTTCCGGCTTGTTCTATTTTCTCAGTAACATAACGGCTGTTTGTTTTTATATTGTCAATTGCTGGTGAGTTTGACTTATTTAAAATATAAAAATCAACATCCATAATATAGCTCCTAAATTTCCACAAATTAGTTTTGTATGAAATAAATTATCAGGTCAATAATTTATTGACAATCATAATGTGGTCGCCCATGTAACAACGAATATAAAAAATATGTATAAACAAAACAAAAAACAACAGCCCCAGATTGTTCGCATTACCCTATATTTCTGCACAAAGCTATTTTTTTTAAATCAGTGATTTTAAGAGATTTAGAAATTTAAAGTGTTTAAGTTTTGCTTGATATTATATTAAATGTTAAGAAATGTTTGTTAACATAAAATAAATTTTGTCTCTCGTTTCATTAATGTTACCACCCAATTTAATTTTGTATTGATAAGTTATAATTAATAAATTCATAAAATTTTTATTAACTCTAAGTTTAGAGCTAATTTAAAAAACAAATGTTAATCAAGTCTTTTTGTATGTTTCTTTGATTTTTGCAATATAACCTCCATATCATTTAAAATTAATGTTTCTAAAATCGTATTTTAAACACATCTTTCTAAAAAAAATTAAAAGTTTTTTTGTCTAGTATGTCTTAAAAATTTTTTAAGCTACACTCACTTTTTGAAAGCTACAATACGTTTGTTTACTAATTCTTGCCCTCATTTTAAAAATATTGTTTATAAGAAACAGGTGTAATTGGTAGGTAATTTGTGCTGAATTTTTAAAATAATGTTTGTTTTTCTATTTTATTATGACTTATAGTTGTTAATTTATAAAATCCATTCAGATATACATTTAAAGCAGTTTTATAAATGTTGAGTCATTAACTTGTGATAGTTTCACATTAAATGATTAATTTGCTAAAAGTTAATATTTCTGATATCTTTTCGAAAAGAAGTGTTTTTTGGTTTCAAAACTTCTAGTGACATTTTTTGAACTTTGAAATATGAGTTTAAATGTAATGCCACTCACTTATTTTAAATATTAATTTCATTATAAATATTTTAAAGAATAATCTATAATCAAGTAAGCTTATTTACTTTTTTTCTTAATTTTTCTTAGCATTTTAAAAACCAAAATACCTTAAATGAATAATTCAAACTATTTAAAAGTTGAAACTCAAGCAATTGTTTTCAATTAACTAAAAATTAAACTAAAAACTAAATTTTGGAAAATATTGGTGCCCATAAATATTAACTATTTTACCAAGATTTCTTGGAAGCTAATTAGTGTTTGTTTATTAAGTCTTGCAATTCATTTTAATAATATGGATTATATGAAACAGGAGTAATTAGTAAATTTATTGAATGTTTAGAATCATATTAATATTTTGTTATAATAGCAAGTTAGGCTCAGTAACTAAATAAAATCTGTTTTACTCTAAATGTAGAACAATTTTTTTAACAAAGTAATTTTTTAACTTGTAGTATTTCCAAAAAAACATATCTTTCTTTCTGTATTTTAATAACATTAGTTGAAACACAGAATGTGGTTGATAGACACTCTTTTTACTCACAATTTTACTGTTAGATTGTATAATTAAATGTATTTAAATGCGGTTTTATTATTTTAACAAAAAATATTTTAAATTAATAGTTCAAAAATTTTATTATTTAAAAAAAACAATAGATTTAAGCAATCGTTTCAAATTAAAATTTCTAAAAAATAAAGTTAGAATAAAATTTTTACTGTCTATAAAAATCAAATTGGGACTTTTTGAAAACTATGAGGTATTTATTTTCTAATTCTACCTTTCATTTTAATAATTTTTGAGATTTTTAAACAAACAGGTGTAAGTGGTGATTTCTTATGAGTTTTTAAAATAATGTGTATCTCTATGTTAAGTTAAGTTAGGCTTATTAACTAAATGAAATCCATTTAAATCTTTTTAGATTTAAATGGATTTAAAGAGAATTTCATTAATTAACTTTAAATATTTCTGCATGATAGATTTAATTAAAGATAATATTTCTGTCATATATTCAATGATACATATTTTATTTCAATTCCTAATATTAATTCTCACTCTCCCTATATATATATTTACATATCTTGTTCAAATTTTCAATTGTTAATAAAATACTTTTTATTCATCCACTCATGTTAAAATTTATTTTTTTTTAACTTCCAGTGGATAACACTTGATGTTAATACAGTTTTTTCAAATATTAATTAAATTTAATTAATTAATTTTAGTTTTATATAGACAGCACAAAATTGCAAGGAAATTCGCTTTCTATTTTGCCGCCTAATGTTGTGATTCTGTCTTATATTTATACATATTTATATTAATTGTAATTATTTAATAAAAAATAACTAAAATAACTTTGTTGACCCAAGTAGAATTTGACTTTAATTTTTTTGATATTACTTGTTATTACTAATTTTTTCGTGATATATTTCTTGAAATATCAAAGATTAGATAACTAATACCACGTATGAATTTTACACTTTGTTACGTAAATGTATAAGTGACTTGTATAATTTAAAGCACACTACAAGTTTTTTTATTATCATATTTTTTTTTCTATCTTTGATAAGTTGGGTTTCTGAACCTTCGAAAATCCAACTTCTAAATTTAAGGCTATCTTAATGTTAAGCTTTGTTTACCAGTTAAATTTGAGTAATACTGTTATGACCTATTGTAATATTCGTTTTTTTCTAACCATTCGTCACCAGTTCAAAACATAATGGTGGATATATAATTAAAGTTCATTTTTTTCTTAATATACTCTAATTTTAATTCTCTTGGAAAGCATGTAGAGGTTATTCTACTCTTTTGTGAAAATTCTACTAAAAATTTTGTAAATTTCAGTACTATGTGAAAAGTTCTTTTTTATGTGTAATAATATATATATATATAAATATA